TTAAAACAGTCTCAAAAAGTCCGGAAGCTTTTTTTTCCTTATTTCACGAAAAACTAAGAATCTTCACTGATCTCAGCAGCCACTAAAAGTATTTCCGACTCCTACCGGAAGTCCTCGCTGTTTGCCAAGATAAAACGGAAATCAATTAGGATTCCAAGCACGTAGCCAATAGGTTGACAACACTACCCTGGTATTCCGAGCTCTCGTTCTCACAGGGAACCATCCACTCGCTCTAACATCCTTTCCAGGGACTTGGCTTATTCGACTGACTCTCCCCAGCGGATGTGATTGCCCCAGTCATGCCAACTTTCACGACCCTGAATTCCATAGGGAATAGACGACGGTTTGGCCTAAACCGTCGATAGGTTATGTCGGACCGCGTCACACCCTGAGACTGTGGAATCGAGCTGGATCGATTTTCTATTACGATATATCGAATGTACTTGTGGGTTCAGAGACTACCTTAGCCTATGATAAAACTTTTATCCAGGACCAGACCGTTCATTTTATTCCTATATATTCGGAACGTCTTGAAGTTGCCGCGGAAGGGCGATCGCGAATTCATTGCCAAGTGGCGGAAGTGAAGTACGGAGCAAATTAACCCTCAAGCGAATGACGAGGGACGTTTTCTCTGTTTTACGAAATAATTAACGTCGTGGTAGTGCTAAAATAAAAATTTTTTCCCGCATTCAGATAATCGTTACGAAATATTATACCGAAGGGTGAGAAATTTAATTAACCTTGATATCGATTAAAATTATAAATTTCATATTAAAAATAATATATAATATTGATTGACGTGGATACTTGAGAAGAAGAATTTTTTTACCACCAAACTATTCGTGTAGTCTCTTAACGAAATTAAGAAATGGTCGCTCCTTATCCAGCAGCTCGTAGTCGGTTTGCTAGAATCGCGACAAGGGGAAGATACGAGGAAACGAGACTAGAGCGCCTTAATAGAGTCCTGTTAGCGAAGGTTTACGTGGGTACCCCAGTTCCTTCCTGTAAAGGGAACGTGTCCTTCCGAAGGATCGTGGGCTCCTTATTGTTTCGCTCGGTGGTATCCCGGGCTAATGACGAACCCTGAACTAACAGCCTTTGGAGTCACGAAATTTCACTGTATTCCTCTGCCAGTGTATTATATCTTACCGGAAGTTGCGTTATTTCCATTTACAAAGTACACCAATATATATATATATATATCGATCTACAGTTTCGCAATACCGTCGACCATCCCGTTGTTAAGCCACAGATGCTCATTTAAGAGGCTCACGTGACCTCGTAAACTTCTAGGTTATATTGTTGTCTTTATCCGTCCTAACCTCAAATGCCCCTACGTTTCCGTTTCGCGTCTCTTTACCCATACCGATTTCCGGGCAATCGGATTTTTATTTACGAACCGCTACCAGTTACGGACTCTTGTAAAAACTCCTATGCCAGCTTCTCGGGCTAAACCAAACCGACCGGAAAGCAAAGACCCCACGCCAATGGCAATGGCTTTCTACATGTAACCGTTGCGATCGTGTTTCATCCTATGGTCACTTCTTTCGAGGATTTTTCTTTTTCTTCTCCTTTCAGTTCTTCCCGTCTTTGTTCACCTCCCCTTTCGACTCCTATACCTTTATTCTTACATGCCATTTTCCATTTTCGGCTGAAAGGAATCCAGCTTGGCAAGACTGTACCATCACTTACACGTATATCTTCTGGGTAGGTTCGTACTAAGAGTTTTCTTATCGTCACTATTTATTTTTACCCCGGTCTCGCGCTGCTGATTTCACTCGCTCCCTTTTTCCCATCTTTATCGTCCCTCGCAACCCTTACCATTAAACCACCCCTCTTCCCTCTCGATCTCCCAATAGTCATCCGCACCAACTTGAAACTGATCCCGGATTTTCTCTATCGTCAAAAATAACGTAACCCATCGCACTTATTACCCCTACTGCTTTTCACTAGTTACACGATTTTCTCCATAGTCCGTCTAACGTAACTTCATCGATGCTGCAGTACGTTCTGTACAATAATAATAATAATAAAATTGACGAAAGGATCTACAAGTCATATATAGGACACTATTGAAACGTGCCAATTTTCACGTACAATCCTCGACTAATGAACTACCCTTCTATATATATCTATATATATCTATATATATATATATAGAATTCACTAAGGGAATTCACAGATAGCCGCCTCGCCATACGAATCGAAGTTTCCCAGGGAGACGTTGACAAGTTTAATACTTGTTTAGATACCAAGCGTCGATGCTTGTTAGGGATCCCAGTCCGTACCAACAGGTCAACCTATCTCAACCTATCTCTGAATTGAGATCCGATTAGCTTCTGCTGAGTTGAGCAAACAGTTTCGAATCGATAGCCTGGGCTCAAAGTACGGATATCTAAGGCAAACGACCTTCCCTACCGATAGCAATCTTCATCAGGCTGGATTTTTGGCTTCGCTGTAATAACCCAATAGACAACGTCATTTTTCGACTGCCTCTAATCGTGGCCGTGCGTTTGATTAATTCTTATCAAAAACCGATAAGACAATCACCGCCTATCCCACGCGCCATTCAACGTTAGCGGATAGTCATATATATATATATATATGCATACACGTGCATACGGGTACATTGCCGAATTTCCTGAATTCCAAAACTACCCGCGCACTGCTTTACGTTGCCGCGTGACTTGAATAATTCATGAATAGCGCTCGACGCGTAAACAGCTCGTCACGTATATTCACGTAATCGCTCATTTTATCCTCGTTTGCACTTTCGTGATTTTTTTTGTTTTTTTTTCTTGTTTTTTTTTTTTTTCCGTTCCATTTTCACTTATTGCATATCTATATCCCGTGCTCTCTGTCTCGCGTCACACAGCACCACGCGGAGCCTCATTGTCAACGAGGCCTGAATGACAATCTCGGTGACGCCGGTACGGCAGATTGAAGCAAAGTAATTTTCACGTCGGGACCGATTGCATTTTCCATTACGTTTCTATAGTACGTTCGTTTTCACGCTCGGATTACGCGCAACGGCCACCGGGAAAATGTTAAACGACCACAAACGTGGCTCTGGGTTACGTACTTCGCGGTTTTCATTACACCGAACAAAGACCTCGTGCATACTGCTTGTCGTCTAGGACATGTATATATATATATATATATACATATATATATACATATATATATATATTATACATACATATATATATTATACATACATATATATATATATATATATATGCACGAGCATAGGACTGTAATTGTCTGGATATCTAGGAGCAATAATAATAATACCAATAACACGCTCTCTTAACTTTATCAAGTAATTCAACGGCACCGAGTCTATGGGAAAATGTCTATGGGTAAAAAAAAAAACAGAGGGAGAAATTGGCTCGATGAAAGAATTTGAATAAGGGAAATACCTTAATGGTAAAATAATGGAATGAAGTAGGAAATTTTTTTTCTTTTGAAATTTGGCGAGGTCAACTCGTAAGGGCGTATTTGCTTTTTCTTTACTTTGCACGCGAAGTTATGGAGGGTGGGTAAAAGCTACCCCTACGTGGGACGTTGAAGTTTTCTTCTTTTTCCTAGAACCGAGTCTTGGATAATGATAATAATAATTTTGGGATTTTCGAGAAAAAAGAAAATAGTGACAGTAAGTTGAGTGAAGTGGCCGAAGTAGAAAATTGTGGAGAAGTACGAAGGGATGTAAAAGTGACATGGGTTGGTGGAGTTCTAATTAAGTATATATATGTAGCACTAGTGTGGGGGGGAGGGGGCTTAAGGGTTCCTTTTAAATGCAGGAACTGTAATTTTCTCATTAGGAAGGGGGGAGGGGGGGGCGGAGTCTGAGAGAACATTTGCCGCGCAAGTGATTTCGGCCATTGCTACTTGGTTCCGCCCGGGCAAATAATTGGCAGAGGTTTGAGATTTTTTTTTTTTTTTTCATTTTCTCGAAGCAAACCACGTAACCGTAAAATAACTAGTACGATATCAAATTTAGTTTGGCTAGTCGGTACCAACCTAGCAACAGCACAGTGTAAACGCAGGCCCCATTAATCTTGACTTTTAACCTCACGAGACCAGCCTCTTGTAGTGGACTGTATATGTACAGGCTTGTGGTTAAAGAAATATTTTATTTTTCTTTGCCTAGCAGAAGCCACCATCACTTTTTACCACCTTCGGCTTCTTTATCTTTAGCAAACCTCCCCTCGGCCTACCATCCCGCGCCCCTTGCAAGCCCTGCCCAGATGACCGCAGCAGATTCGCAGCTGGACGTGTCCCGCATACTTTGCCAACTTCAGCTGGCTCCGAGCTGAATAAATAAATTATTGAATAAACGATCTTTTCTGTACTTGCAGCCTCAAAAGTTTCGAATCGACAAACTTCTGGCGGCTGTTTGCACTCGGTCCTGAGGCCATTCAGCATCCCGAAGAGATCTGGACCTGCCGCCGAAATTCGTCATCTCGTACTTTACTGGTGATAAAAATCGCGTAGATGGAATTTTGATGCAAGATCAGCTGGATCCAGCATCTTCGGTTTTTATTTTTTTATTTGTGTCGTTAATTATTTTTATAAATTTTAATCGCGTTGGATTTTTTTTTTAGCTTAAATCCTTATTCACCGATACACTCGCACTTGGATCGTACCTCTTGGCGAAGTCCCGGAAGTCTAGGACGCCGCCCACGTGGTCTTATCGGTATCGTTGAGAAATGAGAGGGCGGATTGATAAGGAAGCCAATGGATACAGAGGGAGCAGAGATAAGGATGGAAGAGTAAGATTCGAATGAACAGGAAGGAGACTCTTGAAAAATGGCGAAACTGTGCGAAAAGGAAGTCTGCTTCGGAGGCCAACATAATTGGCTGGTTCTTGGATGACAAACAACCTGCTACTAGGACTGCTTTGCCTTCTATTTGTCACCGAGGAGAAGGTAGTTCAACTTCGGGAAAGATCAGGCAGGGCTGGTTAAGAGTATATATACAGGGTGTCCCAGAACTACTTTAACACCCGAAAGTTGGGTGATGGCTGGGGGTCCCCCGAGTACCCTCCCGCAAACCGTTTGCCAAAATTCGCAATAGTTGTTAAATGGGAAGCATTTAAGATGCACCAATCAGAATGAAGAATTTCCGCGGGTCGTGAAAGGTACTCGATGAGACGGCTGCACGAAGCTAAGGAGTTCGGCCAGTATCGGCAGTCTGTCAACGAAAACGCTTGGCGCTCGGATTAAGAAACAATTGCGAATCGCGCTATCTGGCTGTAGCAGTTAGCTTTTGCCTGCCACGACTATATCTCCCACCACGCAGACACGATCCGCTGAAATTCTTTATTCTGATTGCTGAACCTTAAATGCTTCCCATTTAAAAACTATTGCGAATTTTGGCAAACGGTTTGCGGGAGGTACTCGGGGGACCCCCAGCTATCACCCACTTTCGGGTGTTAAAGTAGTTCTGGGACACCCTGTATATATATATATATATATATATATTCGCAATGGAGGATGATCTATATCTTTGTCATGGAAACGTCGTACCGCCATTTTCTCTTCTCCCTTTTCTTTCTCGTCGGGTGTCACCAGATGGGATCAGCCGAGATCATAATCGAATATCGGACAGCGCGGATGGAAAATTGAAGGGCTTGTATAAATCTTGCATGAAAAAGCGCAGCCACTTTTTACAGCACCGGGAGAAAGGGTCGCGCAACCCCTTCGCGAAAAGCACGTTTGCTCGTTTCACACGTGTAGACCTATATATGGTCCCTGTGTTATCGCCGAGCACTCTGCATATTACTCAGTACGTTACTATTCCCATTCAAGCTGTTGTTACGACAGTTACTCTTTATTTTCATTTTTTGAATTTCACAACAAAAATTAACCGTAATTAAAAAAAAATATATATAGACCCTTGGTTCTCTTATATAATACATTTTTTCTTTCTCATTCAATTTATTAGTCAATCCTATTAATTTTTTTTATATGTACACAGTATACCATATTACGGTTATTCGTTATTTGCAAAATTATTGATCCAGATAATATTGTTTATATGCGCGAATTTTTTTAAGCTTTTGAGTGATTTTTTTTTTTTTTCTTTTTCATAATTATACTTTTCGACTGTTTTTAATTTAATTTCGCGAAATCAAGTACGTTTATAAATGAGTAGCCAACAGCGAAAGCTTTTCCCTGAGGGACGACGAAGGCTCGATTAGTCTGAGCTATAGTATTTGCTATACAGTAGAGAGTACAGTATAGTGTATGCACAGTACGGAATAATGTATAGTCAATATATATATACCTCTATAGGGGTGAAATAAGAAGCACACTCCCGTTACGTGTTTCGCGTAACTTTTTATTCGAATGAATCGAAAAGACTGCGCCAGTGGCGCCTCGGCGTTACGCGAATTCTATAAATCAGGATGCAAGCACGAGCTTCCTCTATATACGACAAACCGTGCATTTCAGCTTCTGTTTGCTAGAAAACTGGGCCACCGATTGCATCCCAGAGATACGCCTTAAGGCGCATTCACAACCAAGAACTATGTTCGTACGACCGAGCTACAGTTACCTGCAGTAACAATGGGATTAGCTATCAGCGTATATATATATATATATTAAAAGAAATTAAATTTTTATTAACGTTGAAATTCGTCATTGGACCAAATTTCATATATTTTATCAAATTCGATTAATTGCCTGCATAAATTTCCAGCGCATTTGACATTATTACTAAAAGCTTCGATTTTAAATTTCCCATTGATCGGTTTAGCAATGTGAATTGTATAAACAGTCGTTACGTTCAAGTACAATGATATATGAAAACTGACGATAAGTGAAAAATATTTTTTTTTTTGAAAATTTATTTTTCACATTTTTTTCACGTGTTCATACATTTAACAGTCAAGTGATGTGACTCTCATTTCTGACCTGTCGTTCTTCGAGATTTCGTGCGAGCGTCGCTCAAGACTTTGGAAACGCGCCAGAAATCCTCTTCGGACGAGGATTGCACTTTGCGATATTCCAAGTTCGATTGTCTCCTGTCGACGTCGAGTGTTCGTTCGGTCGACGAAAACTTTCGTACTAATCAAATACGATTAAGAGCCTTACGCGTCGTTATATATGACTCGCTAAAACGAAACAAAAGTTTAGCACAGACGTGTGTCAGACGGGCCGAGACAATGACGGGTAATTTGCGACATTGTAGAACGTTCGGAGAATCGTCAAGTCGGTAGATTCGTGGACGTTCGCGAAATTTCTGTGACTCATTGTGAAGTCGAGCGCGAATGAAGGATCGTCGGGAATACCGAGGGAAATCAGAACGCAGGGATAGTGAAAAATGAGGAAGAGACAGACGCTCGAATCGGCATATGCGAACAGTCTGGGTTCATAGTGTATTTTTGAAAATTGTCAAATTTCATTTTTCTTGCGAAATGTCGAAAGATATATATATATATATATATATATATATATATATATATATATATATGTAATATATGTACGTACGAGAGCATATGGTCTTTTTATTCCTCTTTCTCTCTTCTAAGGGGTCAGCATCCCTGAATCCTTCGCTTACCCTTTTGCCTACGGACACTCTACTCCCTGGGGATTCTATTTATTTGCAGATTCTGCCAACCCCTTGGAGAAAAACAGCAGTGTAAACGACACGTTTTATGCGAAGTGAGAACGGGGAGCGTATATGGGAAAATTACACGTGCGACACTGAAAATAATAATGAGTTTTTTTGTCATATGATAAATATTGCAAATAATGGCAATATTTATTTTGTACATGTATTTAGGGGGGAAAAAATATTTATTTCTGGATGAATTTTTGTACCGGGAGCTTTTGCTTTTTATCTTTGAGGATGGAGAGGAGCGCGAGATCCTTGGATGCTGGATACGAATAATCCTCTTCGGATAGTATATTTGTACTTGACACGAGAATTATGCTTATTTCCGGTCTATTATTCACGTTGGGCAAGCGTCATTATCAGGGATGAAAAGTTATGGTAGGCAAGTGGCACGTAATACAGGAAGTTTCATAGTTCAGCGTTGTGGAGGGAGCCGGAAATTCATTGAAGTATGAATTAAATTTTAATTAACATTTATTTTTCCTCATTAATATATTACGAAATATTTTGTATTCACGAGACTTGACTTTTTTTTCAAGTGTTTTTAATAATTTGTTTTTTTTTTCATTAGTTTATTTTAATTATATTTTATCGATTTTCTCGACCATTTCTGTGCCGAGTAATAATTGAATGTATTTCTCCAAATTTCTACAGTTTCATGCTGTAGTGTCGTATCTTACGTATAGCTTAGAAAAGCTTATTCGTCATTGAAATTTCTGATAAGGGGAAGAATATAGACGGGTATAAAGGGTTACTTAGAAAAGGGTGGAAGTTTGGAATTTGTGGGACCCTGAATAGAAAGGGATCAGCTCAGGGGACAGGGTCTGATAAAGGAGGTAGTAGACAAGGTAAGCATGTCATCCGTGTAAATTCCAAGTATCTCGGAACAGATTCAGAGAGTCTGTCATCGTAAAATAGACTAGGTCCAAGGATTCAGACTCGGATGATTAATAATTCAAATTCTTTATTCACGTAAACGACCACTTACGAGTATAGGATAAATATAATTTTTCAAAAAATTTTATAAAAATTTCTACAAAATCATACATTTGGAAAATCCGAATCAAAAACATGGGTCGGTCACTTATTTCTGTGCTACCTCGTGGTTACGTTAGATCGTCCACATTGAGTCGACCACAAGCAAGATCAGCCATAGCGGAAACTTTCTTGCGACTTGGCATGGACCCTGAATCTGAATGAACTGGAAGTAGTCTCTTTCGACCAATGTCCCCATCCGACTCCACCTTGTCAACGTAGCAACCCAGACCCAGAGAATGCACTCGTGGACCCATCTACCCTAAGGAAGGCTAAGACCCAGCTCTCGCCGTGGCTACAGGACGTGATCATAGAAACCCAACTTACAGGGTTCCACATCTCGAAGTCTCAGGAAACGAACCCAGTCCATCTGACCAGGTCTCTGCACCCTCGACCCCCGTTCGTGCTCTTTGGGTACCGACCGACTTATCACCACCTCAGCCGGCAACCCTTTCTGCGTCACTTCATCGTGAAACGATGGACCCAAGATCTTGCTATACTTTTCCATAGTATCCAGCAAGTTACCCCGGTGACTCCATCCTTGTCGAATACCCGGGTCTCTTGTCAGGGGTTATCAGTCTGAATCTTCTCTCTCCCGCGCCTTAAGCTCAGTCCTTACTGAGCTTGCTGCCGCGACACCTGATAACTGATTGACCACTATTTTCCTTTTCTTCTAACCCCTTTCGCGAACGATTTAGCTTCTTTTTCTGGCCCTGATAAAAAAAATCAATATATTCGCCTGGCAACGAAAATATTTCCAACCCTTCGATGGAATCAACCGTAACAAAAAATTTTATTATTTTAAAATTTTATTATATTTTAAAAATTTGAAACAAGTCGATACCAGAGACTCCCTGACGCGAAGACTAGTAGTTGGTCCATAAAGAGCAGCATCCGCAATCATCATCTGATGAACCATTCAACATAGACGACGAAGGTAAGAGCACTGCTACGCGATTAACTATTTTAACTTGAACGAATTTCGGATCGATGTTCAATTTTTTGGATTGAAAAAAAAAATCAACGTCGAGATGCATTACACATTTTTTCTTCATATCGCAAAATTCAAGTTAGTAGCCATTGCGCGAATAAATGTTGGCTAAAGTTTAATGGGATTAATTGAAATTTTATTCAAATTTTTTTGGTCTGATTTATTGCCCAGTTTGGTAATTCAATGCCAGACGGATATATGGCTTTTATATTTTTCTGATTCACTGCCGGATGACATATTTAATTGACGAATGGAATATGGCCCATTTACATGAATTTATCGTTGACCAATGAAAATTGTTGTGTTCACAAATCTCGATGATATTTTACCTTCTCTGTATATGCCGAATTCATTTCTCTGAAGGTTGGTACTTACTGTTGTAACTTTACCAGAAGTGCTTAAGTACTTGAGTGCCATTAGGTATGTGTTCCAAAACTCGAGGAATTCTTGTCATAGTGTCTTATACTACATGGTTGAATATATTATGTATGCAGGCTGGAATGGAGCCACATGTGTTTGCTAGTTTCTCTTGAATAATTGTTCGAGCAAGGAAAGATTGCGGTTCTGTGTCATTAATCTTTAAACAGTATCGCCAGTCCGGATTGAAGTGAGCTGGATGTAAATAAAAATTTTGTGTGACTTAACGTAATTTCTATTTAACAGTCAGATTGTAATTTAAGGTTACGATTTTGAATAATGACCAAAGGTGATAATTCGGTATTCAATATTTTGATAATTAAATTAAATCTAACAAACCTATCGAATTATTACGATATTTTGATTGGCGGTTACGTGAAAATCCTAAACAATACAAACTTTACAGAAACTCGTACGGATTCTCATGAAAATATTTGGCCAAGTTCAAAATTATTCAAATACGCCAATCGAAGGTTAATCGGAAACTGGAAAAAAAAAATTAGCAATTTTTATTATCCCAAAATTAAAAAATCATCTTTTCCCTTTTTTCGTCAGTTTCAAAAAATCGTTACGGGGAGCAGTGTCTGGATTATGATAAATCGGTACTATTCATGAACAAAAAATTGTTGACGATCGAAGTTCCAAGATGGCCGTCCCACTTCCAATAACAGGCCTTTTCAAAAATTTTCATACGAACCGCTAAATAAATTTTTCTTCAAATACCTAAGTATTCAACTTCTTCGTCAGTCCCGAAAATGTTTTTTTTTAAATATATTTTTAGAAAATGAAAAAAAAAATATACGCATAACCAGTAACGAACAAAGCAGACTCATATCGCGCGTATTATTCTGCATTTTCTCAAGAGCCAACATTTTTCCCTCCTTTTGTATTCGTTCTTCTATCCATTCATTCATCCGCCTATCCAACTATCCGTACCACTGTCTATCCGCCCACCAAACCTACCAACCATCGATCAGCCATCCATCCATCCACCGAGCCCATCCATGCGTCCATCCATTAACGAAGGAACGACGGTATTCAGCAGACCTCTCCTATAAATTAGGCTAGTCAGGAATTTCTTTAGCGCGAACGACTAGTAAAAAATAAATTACGACTATCCTTGAGGTAAAAAAAAAACAACAAAATCTCATTACAACAAATTCTGACGAGCCGTTGTAAATAAGTCCTGAACATTAAATAACAATTTATTTGAATCCTTATCCAGCCAGTCCCTTGTTCAGAGTGGAGGAAAAATTCATTCCCCTTCCAGATTTCCTTTGTCTTTATTCCCAACCCTCCGTACCATCCTACACATCGCGTAGGGGTATCCGATTATATTGCATTCTCGTGCAAAAAAAAAGGCAAGCAATAAACAAGCCTTCCATTGACGTTGGTAGTCTCAAGAAATAAAAGTGACGTAGAGAGTAGCGAGGAAATGTAGCGAACAATAATACTTTCATTGCGTCATAAATGCCAATGAGAAAACTAGTAGGAAATCCACTTGGCCGTTATAAAATATTCGTAGCTCGCGTTAACAATTCAAGGAGAGAAATACCTGAGATACAATTTTCATCGACTTATTCGAATCAATGAGACGTTCCTGCTCGACGCACAGTCATTTCCGTTCGCTCCAGTAATTACGAGATCGAAAATAACCGAAGGAATTAGTCGAGCGTGTTAATTAGTCTGCGCTTGATATATGCATATATATCGATATATACATATATATATATATTTACATACCTAGAGAAATGCCATAACAGAAATAATCTCGTCGTGAAAGTTTCACAGTGGCGTCGACGTACTTGTATATCACGACGATGAACGGCAGTATGAATTGGCTCGTTAACGTTATGGAACTTCCATGTCCGAACTTTGTCCTCATCCGGCAACTGGGATATTCTATTGTGATGACCGGAGTGTCGCAGCGCTCGAGCATCTCTGGTGTAGGATATACGTGTACACGGTATTTATACTGGCATTGTCACTTAACGAAATTATAACGAATTACCACTAGTTTCAATAGCGTTAATAATAATGACACGACAATTACTTTTCATGACGCGATAAAGAAGAATTTAAATTTTCCCGCGTAAAAGATTCGTTTGTCCATGGAATGTCCCAGCCTTGCGAAAAGAATAAACCGACCGAAGACTGTAATTGTAATAAATTTAATGGGATAAAAATAATTGTGTTAATAATAATAATAAAAAAAAATGTATACTATTCTCACAGAAGGGTAGCATCCGGATGAAAATACGTTTAGGCTATATCACTTTTTGAATTTGAATGTTTCTCCCGCCTAAGTTGAAATTTATTCAATGGAGATGTCGCCACTGTCTCATAGGTTACGTCGCTAGAGGACTGACTCGTTGTGTAGTATAGAGATGACAGACAACTGCGAAATTCGCCGGGAGCATTCATCACGACACTGTTAGGCCCAAGAAAAGTCTTTCCCGAGCACATCAATCTCGTGCCACTTCTTTTTCTTTTTTTTTTCTTTCTTTCGCGGCGCTCTGAATCGGCGCCGAATAAAAATATGGTTCGGAACTCCGTGCGATGAAATATTCAGCCTCGCGAACATTAGTCACCTCGCTGGAGAAAGTAATGGGTATATTCGACCATACATACGAACCTACCCAATGGGCTACCTAGACCTGGGAAGGCTTTGCCGAAACCGTTTGGAACAGAATGTTGCGAACGGCCGAATGGATGGTGCGGACTGAGCTTAACTACGAAATGGATTGTCGCCATTTAAAATACAGCCAGTAAAAAATGGCCGCGGGTTACGAATTAGTCTAGGAATTTTAGGAGGGCGAGTAAACGCTACCGAAAAATAAATGTAAGCTAAATGAACATAACCTAACATTCGCTAAGAATTTTCATTAGCTGCGGATTAATTTATCGATTTTCTTTTTAACTATCATTCGAGTTGAATCAAACACGTTATTTCATTCTGTTGTGTGCTTCTCTTGGTGAGGAAAATTTTTCTATTCTTTCTACTCGGGGCGGGTTTATGTGGAAAGTCTAAGGATGGGTAGAGAAGCATGAGATGATTTGAGTGCACTTCTGTTTATATATATACACACCCATGTATAAAGGGGCTACGTATCTGCGTATATAACATACTTATTGCATAGGACGCGTGCGAAAGACATGGACTGCGGAAAATAGTAAAATTACAAATGGCCAGCATAGTAGTACCTAGAACTACTACATATTACACTGGAGACTGGATATTTCAGTACTATAGTGGTAAGATGGCGGGTGCTAACTTATGGCCGGTAATGCACGCCATACCGAGCCAGTCACTACGAACGAATTCACGCCATTACTCCTGCGGGCTTTCCTATTCGGAAATTGCAAGGAAGAAATAATGTTGCTAGGTTCAGAGGATTTTACATGAATGAGATGTTATTGAATACCCATATATATATATATATATATATATATATATATATATATATATATATATATATATATATATATATATATATATATGTACACATAATATATAAACAGTCGTGTAATCAAATCCTGTAGGTATATACTGTTTCGTATTTTCGTTGACGTCAGTACGATTCTTTTGATTTTTCTTATCAAAGACGTATCTGTCAAAAAATAAGATATTCGCTTTGATTTTTTCCACGTAAATAATTTCAGGCTGAGCTTTCAGGAAAATTGCGCCCTTATACCTCAAGCGTTACGTAGCCGGTAATATTTACTACTCGTGTTTCACAAAACTGCTCCAGCAGCGCGATGATCCATTTTTTTCTCTTTCTAATAATCAGTCATGCAAATTGGGCTTATCGTTAACAATGAAAGATTTTGTATATTCGTTATTTATTGTTGGATAAAGGAAGTAACGATACTCTCTGTTATATCGTATCAGAATATATAAATATATTGCGATTTTGAAAAAAAGAAAAAAAATTTATTCGAAATTCGATATGCCATTTCTGTTGGATAAAACGAGATGAAAATTTCAAAAACAACCTTACGGATTTATATTAATCTCGTTTCTCTACTTACACTATGGTGAAGCAGTATAGTCGGAGAGTTAGGATGATGGAATAATGGTCGTGGTATAAATATGAAAAATGGTGAGTGAAAGTGAAAGTAGAGGCTTACTTATTCGGACGTATGAGAAACATGCCTTAAGGATTAACTTTATCATCGCTGAAGTCTGGGGATACTCTGGGTAAGAGTCTGGCTAGTTAAGTCTGACGAATGAATCTCACTTGGAGGGAACCCTCGTTTGGTATACAGGGTAGGGATTTGTATTCCGGATGTCCAGACGTGAGAGAGAGAGAGAGAGAGAGAGGGGAGGGAGAGGGAGAGAGTCCTTATTAGAGATTACTTAATTTCGGTCGTGACCCACGTTCGTTTTAATTAGATAAGCGGAAATTAAAGAGTTATTAGAAAATTAAATATTATACTTACCTGTTGGTAACGGGGGTTAATAAATGACGTGGAAGGGATATAATTAATAATTAAAGCGTGTTTAATAAATGAAAATAAATGAATGATTATTAAAGATTTGACAATTCATTTATATTATATATTTATAATTGTGTTCATCATAAAAGTACAATAATAGCGTTATATCAAATCATGAGGAGAAATTCGATATTCACAATCGTGCATGCCTTTTCGAGAATATTGATAATACGGGTCTTTTCGTTGGTTCGTTTCCGCACGTTTAAGCGCTTGCCCTCATAATTATCCGGGGACAAGTCGCTCTAATTGAAATATGTATACATGAAACGTCAATCGCGTAAAAAACGCGCTCCTAATATCGTTCGAGTAAGTAACAATGTAGAAAGTGAGCATACCAAACATAAACGCATAGACAATGAAATAATAACAAATAATTACAAAACGCAACGGCGGCTATCGGGATCAAGTGCAGAATTGGTGCAACAATTCGAATAGCTGGGACATATGAAATTCGCGATACAACTGAACTACGAACATTGCAAAAGCTTCGTTCTCTTGGATCTTGGGCTCTTTCACTTTCTTTGATTTCTATTAATTAATTATTTATTCCTTCGCTAATCTGCCAATTCGCATATTTCTTCGTTAAAGGCAAATCTTCTCCGCTACGAAGACTACTCCCTTATCTTCTTTCTATTACCTTCACTTCTTGTCCCCAATTCTTCGTTTACCCTTTACAAATATACAATGAGAGCAAAATAATTGGATAATCGGTAACGCAGCTGCATTCTCTAATCGTGTGTCTCCGTGGATAAATATCATCGTCTTCGGCCATTACGAATTAATGTTTTCTCTTAATTTTATCTCTTGTCCTTTGTCTCGTCATCCACTCTTGCGTTAGTCTTTCGCGCGACTCTTCGGCATCTCATCGACAACGATTGAAAAGTGACGAATTTTCGTGGGCTTTCAGGCTGTCTGGTAGGTTCGTTCGAGTGAGGGAGGAAAGACGTATAATGCCGAGATGGGTGAAGGGGATGGTAACTGAAGGGAATAAACTAATCAGGCACTTTACAACATTATCTCACTCAATCGACAATTCGTGTCCTTGTAATTATTTTTTTTTTCTTAATTTTTCTTCAACTTCACACCTTCATACTCGGCCTTGTATTCGCACTCGCATCACGCGTTCGCATTCAAGGGCAACGGGAACCGGCAATGCACGCACCCGTTCATAATTGTTCCTAGCTAGAGTTACGCTGTACAAACACCTCGACGTCTGAGGGTCTACTTGGTACCTTGGACGACATCACTTTTGCACTCACGCGCACACGCACTCACGCACGCACGTACATATATTACGCAACGGCACCTTCTGTACATACAGACGTAACCACACGCGAATATACGGATTCAATGTCCTCTCGCGAGTTCGTAATACGCAATTTTTTAAAACCACCGGTCGGAAGAGACTTCCTTCCTTATCAAATTTTTCAATCCCTTTGCAAGGAACCCATCGACACCGCTTCTGGATCTGATATTCCTGCGACGAGTTGCATTCCTGATTTATTCAAGACTTTCCGAAGGACTTCTTGCCGAAGACCTCCCATGAGTGAGTGCACTGGGAGCAATGCGCCTAGGTCATCAGTTGGGTGGTGTCGTCTGCTTCGAACTCATCCACGGGTTCCACCCTGAGGGCCAGTTGCTTGTAACCCATCGTCGCTTCCTTTCGCCTGGACATGGCCTGGAAGCAAAAACGTAGCTGGTAACTCAGTTGTAAAAGATTGGACTATGGGCGAACTTTCTAGAGTCAAGGACGTAGGAAATCTACAGCAAACCTGAAGAGCAACGAATATCGCAGCGAAAAGTGCGATGGATGCAAAGCAAATGGCCACAGCAAGAGCCGTCGCCGTGGTCACAGCCACGTAGGCCGAGTCCTCCCTCCTGGCGAAGATCTGCGTCACCTCGGGGATCATCTCCTCCGGAGAAAATTCAGTTCCAGGTACTCGTCTCTTACCAGCCGGTGAGCTGTTCCTACAGCCACCTGCGTATCACGTCAATAACGTCAAGACTCTATAATGGCGCCATGTAATATGTCGTGCCAGTAAAGAGATATTTGATATTATGAAATACGTACCGGTTTCAGGATCACAAAGGCAGCACTCCTCTGACTCTGAGCTCTTTTCAGCTCCCGCGCAACAAGGAACGCATTGATTGTTCAGCTTGTCTAGATGCAGGGGTAGTGTACAGGCGGTGCAACTGAATTTACCCGGACCTGAACACCTGCGGCAGTCTGCATGGCAGTCTTTACAGAGCTGGGTCAAAGGATCGTAATATTGGGCTCCTAGGCATTCCATGCACAAGCCTCCTTCGAGCATAGAATGAGCCGGACAGGATGTGCACTCGAGAGGACCTTCGCCTGGATTACAAGAGACAGACAGATTACGTGAGTACCCCTGAGAGCCAGTCCTTAAGACAGGTTCTCATCTTACATGAGAACCTCCAGAAATTACACCTAGACATAAATGAAAACGAACCCTTGCACGTTCTGCAATAGTGATGGCACTTCTGACATCCAAACGTTGAATTAAAGAAACCTTCGGGACACTCGGGATGACATTCACCAGCTGCCAATTGCCATCCCTTTGGACACGTCACGCATTGATCCCTTCGAGGTCCTGAACACGTTTTACACGACAGGTAACACTTGGCGCACTGACCTCTATCGCTGTAGTATCTTGAGAGAAAAAGAAATATGTATTTTTCAATTTTCTATTCAACCCATGCGAACGACTGACGTCTGATTGGAATCTTCAAAGGCGTACAGCTGTACTCGATCGACCTACCCTTGCGCGCACGAAGACCTGCACTCGCCACTCTGCAACTGCAAGCCTTCCTGACACGTGGTGCAATTTAACCTGGACACGCAGGTCTTGCAGGTGTGAAGACAAGGGGCGCAAATGGGCCTCGAGGATCGAACCACGGAATAGAACCCGTCGCCGCACTGAGCTACGCATTTACGGCCCTGAAGAAGCAACGGACTCTGACAGGATATGCAAAATTCTTCCGTAGGACCAGCGCAGGTCTCGCAGGTAGAGTGACAGGGTCTGCAGTGCCCGTCCTCGAAATATTCCGAGCTGTCACATCGCGCTCGAGTCTCCGGAGCGCATAAGCCCTTCTTATTCAAGCTCCATCCCTCGATGCAGCTCGTGCAGCTGGACGTGGCGCAAGTGGCGCATCCTGGAGGACAGGGTACGCACTCGCGACGCTTTTTGTCCGCGCTGTATCCTGCGGGGCAGGAACTACGACAGCTTCCTAAAAGGATATCATGATCAAAAGTTTTTCTTGGTTGGAGCATTGCCAGGATATATCCAGTCAGTAGTGTCCAAGCCATTTGTTATCTGTCATTAGATAAGTACTAGCCCCTGAGTTTTCATTGGCTGAAGACTCATTTAATCGACTACTCCTGCCTCCCTGGCTTCTGTTACTCGTATGTGGGCTCGTAAACCTATCCTGATAGTTACCGTCCAACGAGAATAATCCTGGTCTACAGCTGATGCACTGGTTGTCGCTGGTGCCGTTACAAGTCTCACATGTTGAATGACACGGGGCACAGTTATAGTCCTGCGTCTCGTACGTGTATAAAGGACACGCTGCGTAGCACTTATTCTCGTGCATCACCAGGTGATGTTCGCAACTTGTGCAGCGATCCGGTCGATCCTGACAGCTGGCGCAGTTGGCCTCGCACGGTACGCAGGTATTGTTCTCTATATCTGTATTGGATCATTAAAGTGAGCTGTGAATTAAAGATGCGTCAGGATACGCAACCCTATATATTTTTTTTTCAAGTTTAATTAACGATATATGTTTTCATGATGGGTCAAAAATAATATTCATATATTAACGTACTCTCGTAATAGCCTTCAAGACATTGCTGAAGACACACAGCCAGATCGGTCACTCTCAAATGAGCTGGAGCACACGACAGGCAAGAATCCTGACCTGCCCCGGCACAGGTCTCGCACGATTCATGACACGGCCAACATACGCCACCCTGGTTAGGAAAACTTCTCGGCGGACAGCGACTTACGCACATGCTACATTTTAAGGGTGGAATGAATATAATTATACGTTGTAAATCTAAAAACGTCAGATGGATTATTCTACAGGTAAGGATTTACTTACTTGTCCAGTCTATAGGCCTTACAAGCAACGCACTGGGTTGGACCTTTTCCGTAGCATCCCTGAAGATCGCATTGGGGGTCGCAGTCGTGCAGAATCCTTTTGGCGGGATCCAATGATCCTGTTAGAACATTAGCTGCGTCTTCTGGTAGCTGATTGGTCATTAACGGTGCTGAGGAGCCATCGAGCGTCGCGACGGATGCTTGAACGTTCGACGCTGCTCCGGTAAAGGGTCCTTGGTAGTTCTGAAAGGGAGAAGGGCCAGAGAACTCGGGGTCGATGATGCCCTCGGAGCTAAGAGGGATCTGAGAGATCGGGGCTGAGAATGCATGCGGCTGTACCGGGCTAAATTGCTGAGTGCGGATCCTGATGGGGTTGGTTGCTGTTCCGTAGAATATCAACTGCCACTTCTTCAAGATTCCTGAAACAAGTCCATGGAAATACACTACTTTAAAGGCTGAGTCTGCGAAACGACAGGGATTAAGTATACTTGAGAGATACCGGCTTGGTATCCCCAGTCTGTTATGCGGCAAGGAGAGACCAGGGTGAACGAGAGAGAAGAAGGGTAGGTTCAGTCGACGAGCGACGAGGAACGAAAGGGTAGATTAAGACAAGTTGGATTAAAGGAGGGACAGGGGGGGGAGGGACTTATCGACCAATTGAAAACTCTCGATAAACTTGCCTGGTGAGTTAACGTGGCGATTTCCGGCATTTATGACCTGAAGGGTCCATCTGCCGTCAGCCTTCTCGCCCCAGAAATGAACGCTGAGGAAGGGCCAATCGTCAAAGTTTGAGCTTAGAACGTCTCTGGGTCTTTCAAAGAGTAAGGTCGAGGTTGTACCCATGGGAGAGGTCAGCAGTAACCTCAGATTACCTCGTGGGAAGAATCTCAGTGAGACCTAAAAATACATATAACGTTAGATACCTCAGACAAAAAAAAACAGTATCATCTCAAAAAATTTACCTTGCATTGAACATGTTCCAGAAATCGAACCTCGTTTAGAGTTCCAGCACAGCCACTAACGTCCATGTAAACACTCAGGGTGTATCCATAGGTTGGATCTATTGATCTTTCTTCGTTGATTTCCTGTGACTTACAAATATGCTGAGGAGGCACGTTGGTCCATTGCTCTGCTAAACTGACCATGGCTCCAGCATCCATCAAACCGTACCCAAACTTATGAGAAATTTTTCTCTTAACTCCATTCAGAATCCAACCGGGTTCCTTTTCCAATGGGGATGATCTACTGGTAAGAACAACTAGGTACTGCATGTCTCTCCAGGTAAGACTGGGATTGGCTTCCAGTGCCAGAGCAGCGATCCCAGCAGCCAACGGTGCAGATGCCGATGTTCCCGTATGCTCTACAGTGCAAATACGATCTGGTCGAAGCTTCGCGTCCATATCGACCGTCGCGACACTCTTGTCGTTTCCTGGGGTCCCCGAGGAATAAGTTGACGCTAAGGTAGAGCTACATTCTTCCAAGTACCAGGGCTTATAGCCGCCCTGAGTGGCGCTGGAGATGGAGAGGGTGAAGATGCTGTTCGTGTATCCATCACAGTTGCAAGAATCCGTATGTCTACCTCCGTTTCCTGACGCCCAGACGAAGATAGACCCCTTACCCTTTCGACCCTGTAGATCCAAAAAATCATATTAAGACATTTCGATGAGACAACCCCTACAATTTTTCCCAATCCAATATTATTTATTAACGCGTAAACTCACGCTTGTAACACCATAAATGAAAGCTCGTCTAGCTAATGGTCCAGGACCATCGACTGTCTTCCCGTCGTCTTCCGGACCCCAGGAGGCACTATAAATATCTATATGATCAGGGTTCAGTCCAAGCGCCCTAGCCTCTACTGCATCGTTGACCGGTCCATCCAGCATGCGTACTCCTATGAAGAAAGTAATAATCTTCAACGATTTGAAAACAAGTAAGTAATTAAACAGTGGCCTATCACCGGACCCTCCTCATCTATCTTCGACCGATCCAGTTTCAGTCTCACCTCCGATACTCGAATTATAGGCGACCCCCACGCCGCAGTACTGATTGAAAGCGACAGCAGCCACTTCGCCAGCGCACCTGGTCCCGTGTTTGTTGTCGCCATTATCACGTGGCATAGGATCGTCATCGTTATCATTGATATCAGTGCTTGCTTCGTGATCGTAATTTAACGCCAGATCTGGATGATTAGTCTGGATTCCATCATCAAGAATAGATACAACCACGCCCTTTCCCGTGTAACCCTTTTGCCAGGCTGGACCCAGGTTCATGTCGAAGCCATCCTTTGCTCCACCATTCTGTAAGAAAGTATGAAGAATTTTATTTAATTTCTCTCTCTCTCTCTCTCTCTCTCTCTCTCCATATATTTTTTGTTTAATGGTTCTTGGTCTTTCCCATTCGAGCGATTTCATTCTCCAGTCCCAGGTACGTACTAACTTGGCACATTGTATAGTTACACAATGCTAACCATTGTCTTTTAAAACTCCACGCACTCGACTACTCTCTTTCTATCGTAAAAGCGAAAGGTATATCCTGACGGAAGATATTCGAGTACTTTCTACAACAAAGGGGTCGTGCATGATACGTACGACGTCTACGACGCCATGAGATGGAGAACACAATGAGGACTAAAGTCAGAAAACAGTTGGTTCTCACGTCATTCCATCCAACCTATTTTATATACGATTTCTCAGGGCCGTAGAGAATTCTTCGGAACTTGACAGTTTCTCGGTTTCCCAACTTTATATTTTTATACTTTTCCCGCCACTCACAAGGGACCATATCTTTGTACCCTTACCAAAGATGCTTTCCGAATATAGATAATATTTCTTGGATATCGATCACTATACATTACTTTGAAACCACTCTCGATACGGAGAGGATATTCTCCGTTCGTCAGCGCGGGCTACACCAGCAACTCAATGCGAGGCAATGACGATGCACCGAGCCACCCGAATTTTAGTCTAATCCAAGTGATTTTATTTTCCTTCGAGGGACGCGACTCGGACACACGGACGGACTATACCCAGCTGGCCAGCTGGCCCGAACGACGAAGAAGCGTGGACGAGCGGTTTCACCAGCTGTCCAGCCACGTGCGCCGTTCCCGAGCATATACAGCCCCAGTGACGTAGTTAATTACGTCTCGGGCAATATCAGGAATACGCTCCTGGAAACTAGTTCATCAACCGTCCGAGGGGCCGCGGGGTCGGTCTGGCACCGTGCACCGGGGGACCAGAAAGGGTGGAAGTGAATCGCGCCCTCAGGAATAAGAGAGGAACATGGGTCCGGAGAAAAGAGGGAGGATAGCTGATACCGACCGGTTATAGATCTACGAAATTGTAATTTGCCTATCAGTCCTACTGTCTGGCGTGGCGCTAGTGCGCCCTTAGGAGAGGGGATCATCGTTCGTGCGATCGTTCCCGAAATCAGTTCTGGTCTAGTCGTCGTACCCGGTAGTGCGATCAGGGAACACGTGTTAAGATAGAAAAGTGTGCAAATTTTGGATAGCTGCGCCAACGGAGGTGAGTACGATCACTGGGCAGGCTGCCCTATAACCTTATAAGATTTTTTATTGTGTAACCGTGCTTCGGGCAGGACTGATAACGTGCGTGAACGATCGAAAATTCTTTCGGGAATCGTTTCGTGTGGCGTAGTGTCGTGAGGCGGTTTAAAATCGCTAACGATCATCGGGATGCTTGACTTCTAGCGGTGCGCATGCGCAATAGAGTTGCGCGTAATCGCGATAGAATATTCTAGAACCTCGGTGCCCCGCCGGCGTCTCCGGGGAAAATTCCATTAGGGCGGACTGCCGCCCTTAGATGACGCGTTTGTTTGGTTTAGTCAAATTTGATGAATTTAATTGTTAAACGTTAATAATATAAATTATTTATTCAATTATTTTTTATGGCGTCTAAGGCCCGATTCAGAGTCAAGTGCGACTGCCGCGAGCGCAGAAGCCCGCTTCACCGTTCAAATTAATTGTTGGTCCATTCTGTCCAGTCCGAAACTTGTCATATTTTTTGTACTGCTTTTAATAACTGGTTCTGGACTTTCGAACAATATACTTTCAGTTCCGTGCATAAAAATTCGAGCGAATCCTCATTTTGAGCGTTCGCGACGTCTCCTCCGCGATTCGTACCCCAGACTCCGTGGTCGACCCCACGGGTGCGAAGTAGAGAATTGACCCTCCCCCCTCCTCTCATGTAATTGACCTTGTCGAAAGATCACATCCGGAGCGGGGAAAAACTCAAAAGGGGTATTTAGAACCTGATCCAGAGATCCGGGGAGAACTAGAGGGTCGGGACAGTGCTGTGTAACCCGGTACTTGCAGGAATCGGCAATATTCGCCAGGGGCGGATATACCTGGCGCTTAAGGCTTTGCATCCGGCTCTCTTCTCACCTAGTGACGTCGGAACGATCGGCAATTCTTCAGGAGCGTCTTACGTTGTTTGTAACATAAACGTCCATACCCACAAACTCCGGATGGTAATTTAATTTTAGCGTTACATATATATATATATACAATATATAATTACCCGCGATATAAATTATTTTCACCGTAATAATCCCTCATCAGCTTACATCGTTAATGAAAATATTAAAAAATTATATTAATACTCGTTCCTCAATTACTCACCAGGTACCACTGCTCTTTGAAGAGAGGATCAGTGAAGAGATTTTGAAGCGGCACACCCCTATTTCTCTGCTGATGAAATGCTTGCCTCTGCCGAGGGCTAAACTCGTCGAAGAAACCTGGGTAGTCGCTAAACGAAAAGGAGGGCCCATTCAGATCCCTTTTCTTACGTTTTCTTTCGTGTTGCTGTTGAAACCAATGTACCTGAAACATCATCGATCCTCGTATCCTCTGGAATATTTTTTCTTTTCGAAAACCTTCCCGAAATGTCTTCAAAAGGAAGTAACTGTAACGGGTGGTATCAAAAATTGCAATTTCACGAAACTACCTTTCGGTTGTACAATTCTGATATTACTACTCCTGAATTAAATGTCTATCAAGTAAAACGGCGCTACAGCATCGCGTCATGAAAATGTCAACGGCAGAAGTTATCGAATAGTGACAAGTCAATTAAAGCTCAGTTCAATTACGACGAACGAATTCGAAAGCCGTCCGCGATACAGTACCGATTAACGTTGCTCGTATACCTAGGAACTTGGTGCGCTTATGGAAATCACCCGTTTATTTAACTGCTTCGTACGAAAAACCCTCGTTTCACTGAGATTTAAGCGGTTCGCTGAATCGACCAATTAAGGTGCTTACACAACAAAGCGTTTTTACGCCAAGTCGTTCAGCAATGTTTTACTGGTTCTTAATAGCTGCGTTTCAACTCCCATACATATATTTTTAGGGATACCCAGTCCGCATTTGGCATCTCAATTTTTTTTTGAGATTAAAAAATTTTTTATTTTTTCAAAAAATATTATTTCTTGGCACACATAATATGTATGCAATAACTTACCAGACCCATATATACCAATACTGATAGTATAAACGTCAGAATTCATTAATTGACTCACCTTGATTTTTTGTGTATACGTTTAAATTACATACGAAAAGTGGTGAAATATGAAATTGAAAATGAGGAAAACAGGGAAAATTATTTAAAAAATTTATTATGTCCGCCAATTATTATTATTACTTACCTGGGTCTCATTTTCGAGCAGTGTATGGTGGTGGTCACTAGTAGACAGAGATCTCTTGTGGATGTGCTTGTGTGAAAACAGATAGTAATTCTTCAGAGAGCCAATCTGGAACAAAAGGGGGAGTCTGATAATACAACGTTTGGAACAATGCAGATCGATTCGCTATGTAACACAAGGCTAGGATAACTGGACGCAGCGATAAGGCGCTTTAAATTTCGTACCACTTGCCTGTGCATTAACGTTAATTAATCGAGGGAATTGGATTAGCTGAAGCGAAAATGTCAGTTATAATAATAGCTGTACCGGTGCGGCTGGCTGTAGCAATTAATCGAAGTGAATCGAACATCGAGATATTGTAAATACACATTTATTCGTTTTACATTCGTATATCAAATATTTTAGCGGATCTCGTCAACCGTGATGTTTGATATTGACTATTTATACGCTTTGATCGAAAGCATTAAAAGAGATTCACGTGTTTGGATGCCACGGTTATTAATTAATATTTGATACTGATTTTGGATTAACTTTACAAGCATTTACTGAATTTAACCTTTTTATCCGTTTTATTGGCAAATTGTAATTTATGGAATTTTTTTTTATTTTTTTTTTTTTAGGTACGACGCAACGAGACAATAATTTGTCATTATTAGAGAATTAAATGTATGTGTAAATTTTATATGAAAAGGAATATTTAATAATTTTTGAATCTATAATTCGAAATAGGGTGTAACGGGTGAAAAAAATAAATATCACCACGGAGACGAGTGTAAATATTTCAAATGCTTGATCACGTCACGAGTACCGTCCTAAATAAAATAAGACAATCAGCTTGTGAAAGATTTTCCAAAAAAATTCATTAATAATTGGATACGTAGAAAAAAGTTGCTCGCGAGTTAAAAAGTTTGAAGTGTGAAATTTCACGTGCATAACGAAAAAATCAGCAGAAATAAAAAGTCGTGAAAAACTTTTGAAAATTAACCCGTTAATGCCATTGCGTAATAACAGCCACGGTTTATCCGATGAATTTCCTCGTTAGTTTCTTAATTACACGAATAAGAATCCAAACGAAGGAAATAAGTAACAACGTAGTCGAAAAAAAAAAACATACATTTTTGAAAGTAAAAAAATATTTATTGTACGACGTAAGAAAGAAAATAAATCGTACGAAATTTTTTGTTTCAACTCGATTGAATAATTCTTATACAAGCGAGTCTCTTTGTTACGGAGAAATGGTACCGTACGAAAGAACTCCAATGAATTTAAGCATACCGCGCCATATTAAATTTGGGCATCTGGCATCGGTTCCCTCTCACAGCCAAGCTTAATGCAGCAAATATCATAAATCGAATAACTTCGTCGGAGTGTTCGAAATTCACCCCCGAATGTGGACTAACCTAACCTAACCAGCATAAAACGAAGTATAGGCGGCCTCCATTAAGAGGCGTCCCACATGGTTAGGTTAGGGACAGAGGAGAACCGGCACGCCGTTGTCCGTACAAAAGAACGGACGAAGCATTCGCCGCAAAGTGGCCGTTTCCCTTTCATCCCTAGATTTGCGGATGGCACGCATTAAAAACGTCCCTTTGAGGTTATGTTTCGTTCCCGAAATCTAAAAGCTCCCTACGTGTTCTTAGGCTGTGCCGGAATGGCCAACGGAATGTTTCACGACTAACAACACGTGCCAAAGCACTTTCTTGTAATTTACGATGATTTCTGGTCATTAAATTAATAAGAATTCTTTGTGCTCGTAGATTTTACGAGAATCGTAAATAATGGAAATCTTACACACGAAACCGTTACGTCATAATCTTTTCAATATTTTCTTTTTTATGGAAACTTAACGCGCGCACTAATATATTGGGTCCGAGTAATGGGATTATTTATACGTACTTGGATTACAAAAGAACTATCGATAATGGCGGATATTTGTATCTTGAAAAAAAAAATTTTTTTTACTCAACATTCTTGTTTGACCAAATTTTTATTCTTTTTTTTTTTTATGTAAACTTTCAATTTTATGTGCGAGATACATTTTTTGCTTTGCTTATGTTGCTTAAATATCTAAATTATATATTTTTTTTATTCAACCTAAGCACGTGATTCCTTTTGGATTTCATATTGGTTTATTTCTACAGGGTGTTCGTCGTGATCATGGGATCAATAATAAACAAGCAAGCAGGCGGCTAATGGAACATTTATATGAAATTGAAAATTGGGTATTACACACACATGCATAACGTAACGGGTGTACAGGCGCGTTAAAACTGTAACGTAAATAAAAGTGAGCATCGATTTCCACGATATACCCAGTGTAAAAGGAGTTATGAATTATTGAAATGTGATAATACACGCAAGAATGACTTGTAAATGCGAATAACTTTCGTAAAAGTTCTTTAATAAGATTTTTCTTTATGGTCTTATATCTGCCGATGGTATACCGGGCGTACAGATAGTTATGGCTGTCAGAGAAGAACGGAAACTAGAAAACTTAAGCGACTCTAAAATTCTTGAGTATCCATATTACAACTGCATTTAGGTAGTACTATGGAAATTTCATGTCTTATCGATATTATAATATTTTGAAAACAGATACCGGATATCCCGTAGGCAATATGTGGTGAATCAATACAAATCTATGGAAAACCATTTATTACCAAAAAAAATTGGCAACTTAAAATTTTCTTATTATCACCTCTTGTAATTTTATAAAATGTAAATTAAGGGTCTTTTATTAGAAAAAAAAAAGAAAAAAATTAATAATTTGATCTCTTCACACACTTAATTTCCACAGTTGGCAATACTGTCAACAAGTGTTATATGACTGTCGGACGTAAAGGTGTCGCTGTCGATTAAAATAAATTAATTAAATAAATTCGATCCGATTGGCCAAGTTCACTGCGGGACGAAGGAAAGTTCATTCGCGAGATTAAAATTGACTATAGAGAGCAAATATCCATAATATTTAAATATTTAAAGGTTAACGAGTATCCAGAGAGCAGCGATACGTATAGCTGTATTATGCATTATGATAATTAGATAACACTGTACAGTAAAAAAGATCGTTTTGAGATTGAAAAAAAAAATCAAAAAAAGTAAAAGATTGCCAAATACAAATATAAAATATGATAATGATATTCAAAATTTGCTATCCAGAAGTAAAGTAAAATTAAAAGAAAAGAAAAAAAGTGTCCAAGAAATATTACACGCTAAAATTCTATTTTTTCTCAAAGTTAATTGTACGATACATTATAAAGATATTAATGAGTTCATTGCCAGTACTGAATTCGCATCTTCAGTGTAATTAAACACAAAAGTTAACATAGTCAGGTTATTATAATTAAATGGTTTTGTTTATTACTGAAAAAAAATCTTATAACCATATTTTTTTTTCACTGAGCCATTTTTTTCATGGTTCTCGACGTATTCAGCTATTTGCATTAATAATCTCGCTAATGATACACAGATTAAGTGCCACGTGGACTGAGGGGTATTATATATATCTGTTAAGGTTGAAATTCAAAATAGCTTAATTATGTGAAAAAAATTTTGTGTCGAGAGGTATAATGTATATGTATATTAACATACTAATGTATGACACAAGCTGAGGCTCCGCAGGGAATCGTGAGGGTATGTATGTTTTTATATGTATATATATATATCGGACTTGAAATATATAGGATGGGCAAACAAAAGCATCAAGGTTGGATGACAGCGAGAAGACAAATTATTGCGAACCAATCATATGTGATGCTGTATATGTATAACGGAGTACAGTTTATCCTGTGATCCAAGTTCGGCAAGCCTCCCTTGTTGAATTATTAGTTTGCTTGATATAAGGGTTGACAATCATCATAAACGAAAAGTGCTATCTTCCTTGAATATGTAACAGATAGGAGTTCGTTCGGCACGTGACATGAACGTGTTTGCTGACTGAGCGAGTGATGTGGTAAAGTTGGTACTTTGAAAAAAAAAGGATATTACTATTATATGTACACTGGGTTGATATACAAAGTACGGAGGAAACGTGGAGAGATAAGGCCAATATTTGATTATGATATCCGTAGTACAATTTTTTATTGCCAATACTTTTTATCAAAAATAATATCGAGGTGAGTCGAAGAAAATCAATAGAAAAACTTGGGCTCAATTTTGGCGCACGATGATTGGCAATGTGAAGTTTTTTTTGTTGTCCATGAGAGAAATAGTATTGTGAAAATTATGTAAAGGGAGTGGGAGTAGGGCTGGGTGTGTCAAATAAAAATTTATTGTACCTGACGTATATTTTGAAGTTATTGATAAAGCTGTTATATTCGCGTTATCATTTAATTTAACGTCTGTCAATAGTAACGGTTGGGTGAATAATTATGGATCGACGGGCTAGCTTGATCTGACGTTCAAGTAATTAATGATTTGGATATTTTCGAAGTATTATTTGAGGATTGTTATAGATAATTAATTGATTTTGAATTGTTGAGTATTAATCATGATAATTGAGAGTGATAAGCTTTATTAATGAGTAATAAAAACTGTTGTAATCAATACTGTTTTGATTATCCTTATTTATGAGAAAAATTTGTAAGCGCATTTAAGGAATTATAGTCATTATTAATATTTATTAATATCTGTTACGTAATCTGCTAAATCATATATACAGGGTTAGTCAGTAGAAACGCACCCGCAGAAGTTGGCCGCAAGTGGCCGACACGGCAGTGTGGCCTCTTCAAAAAATGACATGCGACTGTGACCGATTCCCATAAGCGCAAACTGACAGTTTGCATAGCAATAAGGTTATTGAAATATCAATAGTTAGGTTACTGAAATAATTAAGTACTATTGTAATGACAAAATGTAATATCAGTTAAGATTTATTATCATGCGATTCGCGATTGTTTTGAGGTACGCGTTCAGTGAAACGGAAATCCGTAGACTGTGCTTGAAAGGTAATGCTATTTTTTTATTACAGGTTGGAAACCTACATATCCACTTTTAATTCTACATGTTCCTCCCCTTAGATTTTGCAGTTTACGGGAGTCATCTGATGGAATTTCCCGGAAACAGAAAAAATACTCATGAAAATGCGTACCTTGTGGTGTAATTTTCCGGAACTAAAAAGGATTCTCCCCGCCAAAATACAATTCTATAGGCTAATTTTCTTTCCACGCCCCCTAACGGAATTTTCCGGAACTACAAAAGTGCCGCAGAGCGCCATCTGGCGGAATTTTTCGGAACTAAAAAAGTTGCTCCCCGCGAAAATGCAATTTTTTGGGCTACTTTATTTTCCACGCCCCCTAACGGAATTATCCGGAACTACAAAAGTACCGTACAGCGCCATCTGGCGGAATTTTCCGGAACTAAAAAAGTTGCTCCCCGCGAAAATGCAATTTTTTGGGCTACTTTATTTTCCACGCCCCCTAACGGAATTATCCGGAACTACAAAAGTACCGTACAGCGCCATCTGGCGGAATTTTCCGGAACTAAAAAAGTTGCTCCCCGCGAAAATGCAATTTTTTGGGCTACTTTATTTTCCACGCCCCCTAACGGAATTATCCGGAACTACAAAACCATCTGGCGGAATTTTCCGGAACTAACAAAAATGCTTCCCGCGAAAATGCAATTTTTTGGGCTACTTTATTTTCCACGCCCCCTAACGGAATTTTCCGGAACTACAAAAGTGCCGTACAGCGCCATCTGGCGGAATTTTCCGGAACTAACAAAAATGCTTCCCGCGAAAATGCAATTTTTTGGGCTACTTTATTTTCCACGCCCCCTAACGGAATTTTCCGGAACTACAAAAGTGCCGTACAGCGCCATCTGGCGGAATTTTTCGGAACTAAAAAAGTTGCTCCCCGCGAAAATGCAATTTTTTGGGCTACTTTATTTTCCACGCCCCCTAACGGAATTTTCCGGAACTACAAAAGTGCCGTAAAGCGCCATCTGGCGGAATTTTCCGGAACTAAAAAAGTTGCTCCCCGCGAAAATGCAATTTTTTGGGCTACTTTATTTTCCACGCCCCCTAACGGAATTTTCCGGAACTACAAAAGTGCCGTACAGCGCCATCTGGCGGAATTTTTCGGAACTAAAAAAGTTGCTCCCCGCGAAAATGCAATTTTTTGAGCTACTTTATTTTCCACGCCCTCTAACGGAATTTTTCAGAACTACAAAAGTGCCGTACAGCGCCATCTGCCGGGATTTTTTGGAACTAAAAAAGTTGCTCCCCGCGAAAATGCAATTTTTTGAGTTACTTTATTTTCCACGCCCCCTAACGGAATTTTCCGGAACTACAAAAGTGCCGTACAGCGCCATCTGGCGGAATTTTTCGGAATTAAAAAAATTGCTCCCCGCGAAAATGCAATTTTTTGGGCTACTTTATTTTCCACGCCCCCTAACGGAATTATTCGGAACTACAAAAGTGCCGTACAGCGCCATCTGGCGAGCTTTTTCGGAACTAAAAAAGTTGCTCCCCGCGAAAATGCAATTTTTTGAGCTACTTTATTTTCCACGCCCTCTAACGGAATTTTTCAGAACTACAAAAGTGCCGTACAGCGCCATCTGGCGGAATTTTCCGGAACTAAAAAAGATGCTCCCCGCGAAAATGCAATTTTTTGGGCTACTTTATCCCCCTAGCTACTATTCTGGGTGCTTATTCCACCAGGTGGCGCTGATGAGCACCGACGATAGTTCCATGAAATTCCGCTAGGTTCAGAAAGCGTAAGGAAGCTAAGGGTGCAAACATCTAGTAGGAAAAGATTTGACAGTGAAGGTATCCCGATCAGGAAATGGGACATGGTCAGGAATCACGAAGTTTATTGTATAAACAACAAATAAAAATAGTTCTGAACACTCAATAATCCGATTTTCAAGATAGAGTTACGCTTAGTCAGAAAATATCAAGTTACGTCACACAACATGAAATACAATGAAAAGCAAAGGGACAGTTAAAAAAACGAGATAGTGGAAAGCAAAGAAGATATTCCCAGAGCGTGATGGGACATACTTCGCTAGTTTCACTAGCGGCGATATAACTTTAGTGCCGGAAGGCTCTTTCGCATATTTCCGAGTTCCTCCAGCAATTTTCCGTCTGACTTCCTTAACTTCCCGAACATGGCGGCATTACTAGCACTACCGAAGATAGTCCAAGAAAGCAGGTCTTGGTTCTGCGAAGGACCGCTTTCCTTTAAAAGCCACCATCTCTCTCCACCTTCTTCATCGCTACCGGTAACGTCTTCCTTCCTTGTCGTTTCAGGACTCGAATCCCGTACCGTGATCGGTTTATCCAAGTTTCGGGAAAGTTCTCTTGAAACGAGAAAAGATATTCCAGTAAATCGACGTCACGTTATTCTCACCGTGGAGCGATAGTCTCCGTAGAGAATATTTTTGATTTTCAAAGTTTTCGTCAAATCCTAATTTTACAAGGAAATGATAGTCGGAACACGATTCGATGTATGCATTGGGTTTGAAATATAAAAAAAATGGTGTACGATAAAATAATTTAAAATAAGGAAAATATATATAAAATCCATTAGTTTAAATATTTCCCATGTGACAAGCAAAGGAAATTTTTTTTGTAAAGATCGCAATAGGTAACTAATGCAAATTGCAATGTTATTGAGAAGAATCGATATTGGTAATATACATATATGAATAATGTAAGAAAGCAATGCAAGACTTTCTCTCGGGAATGTAATTGAATAAATTAGTAAATCTCTCTCCACATCTCTCATATGAATTAATGAAAATATCGATTGACAGGTGGTAAAATATTTTCCGACCCAGAATAGTCTCTAGGTACCACGATAGCGGCAATCTAGACGACGTAAGAAAATCTTAAGTCGTGGACAAAGAAAAGACTAGGTGGTAGCCATTCATAGTAGGAATAAAAGGAACGAAAGAAGATCGAGTTAGAAATACGTTTTTCCAGTCATTACGTTTTCGTGGCGTCCCCGTCGAACATCGCGCCAGTAATAAAAGAAATCCGGGACGATCGTTAGGGAGATTTCCAAGTAGGCGACGTGGGTTTGCACGCTATTTTCCCGTTACAGTAACCCTATAACGCTTACTGTGCTTACGTCGTCGTTACGGTTAGTAGACCCCATCTATTAAAAAAAAAAAACAAAGTAAACAGAAAATCAAAAGACTGTCTAACGTACTCTCAGGTCTTTAGAACTTTGGTAACAACCCAATTACCTTGCGAAGTATTTCCAAAAGCGGGACGACGACCGGGGATTCCCCGAACGATTTCTTTCGCCGTCGCGGCAAAGACCTTCCGACGTCAGCCGAAACTAACGGCAACGTAGCGTCACGTAATGCGTAAAGGCTGCTTCACGTTATTGACGCCAGAACGAATCATCTTGCTGCTTGAAACGTATTTTTTTTTACTGACCGTTATCACGAGTTACGTTTCCGCTCGGTTCGAGCTAGCGATGAAGCTCTGCCTTCTTTATTTCTTTTTCCTTCCTATTTTCTTCCTCTCTTCTCCCTTGTATAACTGCTCATCCGCGCCTTTATGGTTCGTATTTAACTCGCGAACAAAGTACCGTATTATATTTGCCCCTCGTGACGTGAGGCATAGCTAGACTGGAAGACAGCACTGAGTTCTCGTTAACTTCCTTAATGGCCGAGGGAGACTACCGGCTGGAACTTCCGGTAGGCAGAATTTGTTTTTAATGTCAAAACGAGATGACAAAAATGGTACAGCCTGTTTTGAATGAAAGAAAATCAATACTTAAATTTTTCCAAAAATTGTCAATCTCACTCTACACAGCTAACCTAACCGCGCAATTCGTGTAACGATGAATTTTCGACCTTTTTTGAAAATACCACAGACACCCTAAAAATCGAAACTGTTGGTTAGAGCAAAAATAGAATTTATACAACAAGCTGAAATCGTATACGACGCTATCTGGTTGGGATGGGACGAAAAGGAAACAGTTTGCAAACTAGGGTGAGACCATGCGAGAGTGTTTGGAATGAGGGTTAGACCGAGTGTAAGTTATACGGTGAGAGTGTGAGGGATGAAAATCCGTAGACGCAGGAGAAACCAGGTCTGCGGACGGTTTGCGAAGGTCCGAAGGTTATCGTAAGACATTCTTCAGTGGTTTGATTTAGTGGGTCCTAGACTAGTGCTATCTACCCACCGCCCTGTACTTCGGCCATTTTATATGTACGCGGTACGTTCTCCTCCGTTTGGCTTATGGCTAACCGCCATGCTGATAAATTGGCAGGAATTCGGCCAGTTCGAAAGTTCCCTCGAACAAAAGGAGAAAGTCCAAAAAAAAAACCAAAACACCGTTGGACTCATATATGTCAAAAAAAAAATATTACGTCGACAGGACCTTCAATTCGCCATTTTATCAAATCGTTTTATCCACATCCAAAAGTTACAGAGACAACCACTGACAACTGAGTTCCTTAACGTTTCATCCTTGACTGACAGGTAGGATCGAACCCAACTCTCAGTGATCATCGAAACAGACGCCGAAACCCAAACCGTAACTTACCTTGACTCCAAGTGGCGCCATCTGATCGCGCAACTTGTCAACTACTACCACCACTTTCCTGACGCTTCGCTGAGTCTCCGCCAGTCGAAGAGGGCCGTCCGGACTCATCGGTTACTCGCTACACTGAAAGCTTAATCCTTCGAGCCAAGTTCATTGATATACTTTGGTCCTTTCCAAGGACATTTATCTTCAGCTCTTACCGTGCAGAAAATCGAGGATCAACTTGTTGCGATCGCCATAACGTAATACGACAAGCGTCTTTAATCTCCAGGTGGTTAGCGACGCGTATGCTGACCGCCATTATACGGATTAAGTATAAATTGGACTTTGGTAAATTGAACTTCGTTACAATATTAAAACTTGGGTTACGCGTGGATATTATTTAAACTTATGCCTGGTAATTAGTTTATAATATTAATTAACGTCAGTATCTGTAATTTTGATACGTATTTACTTTAAGGTCTCCCTTTTCCTTCCGTACACGGTAGGACGGAATCAGGAAATCACAAGTTCAAAGTAAATATGTTTGCTCTGCAGTACTTCTTCGGCTTCTACTTTTTTTTTTTATATACGTATCGGTGAGGTTTTACGATCGAAAAAGAAGAAGAGTATTTGGAGTGTCTATCGAAGTTCCGATATCACCGTAGAAGTCAAGACTGACAAGTTAATATCCTGTCCGATATAAAAATTATTTTCAAATATATCAAAATATACGAGAGCTAATAAAAGTAGTTGCTAAGAAACTCTGTAATCTTCGCCGTGTAACGTATTGGATCTAACCTAACCTATCCTGATCTAGCATATCCGAGTAACGTGAACAAATGGGAATTTTATGCACGTCTTTCGCGATATAATGGGAATCGGTCATTAAGTTAAATAAAGTGTCTGATGTATACGAGGGCTTTACGCAGGGAATGGGATAATAAAAAAAAAGGCGAGTCTCCCTATCGATGGATACGAGGATTATTCTCGATTAGGTTGAAATTATCGCGTGAGCCTCGTGAGAAAAAAAGGAAAAAAAAAATAAACAAAACCGTCTTGCTCGTCGCTGCAAAGAAAACCTTTTGCGTTCGAGCCCGTGCAGGCGTTTAATTAAAGTTCCCAGCTAGAAATTGCCGACTTAAATGGGTTTAACCTAGAACTAATGACTCTGGTTTGACCTAGCGGACTCCCGGTGCTCTTGGTTAGAATGCCGTGCATGAAACGTATGCAACGCCGGGCGACGCCAGCGACGCGGACGGGAAGAAACTGCAACTGCGGTAGTTATATATACGGAGAGCGAAAAAGATGAGACCTCGGCAGACGCATTTTTAATTACGACTAGATTATAAAAAAGTACATATTAATTAGTAAAACCCCCCGCGTCCCGTCCTTGTTTCTATCGCATCGCGGCAGTTAATTAGCGGGAATAACACTAATTAGTAGAGCTCCACGTAAATTAATTGCGTTCGTTCATTCGTTAATTACGCATACACACGTATAATGGGCGATCAATTAGGTTAGGGGAGAGGGTCCAAGTGGGAAAGAGAGCGACGACGGGTGGATGGAGGGTGGAAATGGGGTGAAAGATTTAAGGCTGATTTTTCTTTTTTTTTTTTTAATTGTCCTGAGAAATCACACCTAAGAAAAGTTCTCTGGTACTCTCTTGAGATAGGTACGGCCCTGGTTTCAGTTTTCTGGCGCATAGATCGAACTTTACGCCGCTACAAATTTAACCGGCTCGTGGATAAGTAATGCCTTCGATTACCTCGAGTTACCGTTAGACTGCGAACGTAAAACTGTTTGACAGAGAAGGGGACTTTCTTCCTTTCTTAAGTTAAACTTTTCTCTTTTCGATACAAAGTGATTTTCTCGTTGTGGGAAAAACGAAAAGTCGATAACGTATTGAATTTATTGGAAGCACGGAAGAGAAGTACTTTGACGTACGTTTATTGAGATTAAACATGAGGATATTTTTTTATTTCTTGATTTTTCAAATTTTATCTTCGTAAAAAACTTTGGTCAATTTTTTTACTTGAAAATATTCATTATCCACGCTTCTGATGGAAACCCGTTAATTGTTTTACAGATTGACAGGTAATTATATTAAGAGTGACTCTAGTATTTTTTTTTTAATATTACGTATTAATTAAAGCTTGAAGACGCGACTAAAGAGTATCACTCTATTTAAAATCTTGAAACAAAAAATGACGTCATAATTCAACTTCTCAAAAGTTAAGTGATTATACGACGTTTGGACGTGTGCGCAATCTCAGGATTGAAGTGAAAAATTGATGAATGCATTAAACTTAAAGGAAGTTGGCCTTTCTTTTTTTTTTACTTTCGCAGGCACGTAAGTTCAAACTTCTCATAACTTTACCATTGATTAAAAACCCGAAATAAAGCAGCTTCTAAACTTTCGTCGATCTTTTTAATAAAGGTATCGAGGCAGTGAAAAATTACAATATATTTAATATCTGCTCGATACGTCAAACGTTAAAAAAAAAAAAAGAAAATCGAATAATTGATACCCAATAAAATTGTATAAGAAATATGACGTGTTAAAATTTCAATTAACATACCCCCTAATTACGATTATGTGATGTTCATGAAACTAAAAACAAATTATATCTAAAAAATTAATATTTCTATCGAGACAGATAGGAAGTTGCAGAAATTTATTTTCAATTAAATAAAATAACCAATGACAAATCCATCTAGAGATAGCCGCAAGTGTAAGATACAAACTGTATGCATACAGCTGACGAGTATTTACCTAGTATATATATATCACCTATTCACTGCTGTACTTATACAATAGATACAATATGTAAACGTTACCGGAAATGCATACTGATCAATGGCTAAATAGATTATCCTCCGTGAAGATGTATAACAATAGAGAGCAAGTAAACAATAGCTACACGAAGACAAGGATTTGGCACAAAGTACCGACAATCGAGTAGAAAGTACCATAAAATTCTCGTACATGGAAACTATAGCGACATTCTGGCAAATATTATTCTAAGACAAAAGAAATTTGACTAGATAATATAGTAACTTTTGTTATCACAGATGTTGCCATGACTTTTAATAGTTTTTATATGAAAACTGCTACTTTTTACTTTAAAGCATGGTAAGCGGTGTGGCCGTTGCCGTGAATTGCCGTATTATATCGATAAGTATTGACATTTGGAAATTATAACCTCTTAACCTCAATCGTATACGAAACACGCCGTTAATTACTATTTCAGAGAAAACATTTGTTTGAATGGGATATTATACTTGTTTCCTCTCGAATAGTAATAAGCTCATAAAATACTTAATTATTTGTCTACATTGTCTACGGGAAGGAACAAAAAATTATGTTACGGAAAAATTACTATTTTGGTTCGGTAAAAATTCCTATGGTACTTGTAAGACTTCCAATATGTCCTCTGGTAGCGCTGCTGTACCATGCTCCCTTTGTAGATTTTACTTTCATGGCTTAGCAACTTCTACCAGATCCTTCTCTCCGTGTATAGTGATACTAGAGCGTGGTCTGTAATCAATTTCATACATGTAGATATTAATCCTGATGCATCTACGGAGTTGAGTAACAGCGGATATCCAGAAAGAAGAAAGCAAAGCGTCAATCACAGTATCAAAAATAAGTTTATTTAACAAGAGGAACTTTACGTCTAAATATATTCGTCAGATATTATATCGCTCACTTATCGAAGTCCCGGATGGGCGTTACTATTGCCAACATAAAGATACAAGAGAAAGCACTTGGAGTTCCATAAGCTTAAGAATCCCATGAGAGGTAAAGAAAAACACAAATTATGGAAAAATAAAGAAAGGGTCTTATGAAGTTCTTTTTTTTTTCTTTTAATTTTTCAACAAACAATTATCAGGGCGATACTTTTAATGTTTCACTATTTGTGTTACGCATTATTTATCGAGTAATAAAATTATGTGAAAACAAATGAAATGTACTCACTCTCGCAAAGCACTAACGCCGGGGAACTCCTGGATCTTTCGGGGCACACTATCGATTTGCACTTTCCGTTGTTTACCGATAAACTGTCAAACTTGGCACGTTGGCCCTTGCGACCCTACTGCCAACAAGTTTTTTTCGGGAGGTGAGTCAGGAATAATCTGGGTTGTGCCTCGGACGGCCCACCGATACCGTGGAGGGTTAATTTAAAGATTTACCTTGTAGGAGCTGATAAAATAGTAAAAATTCCAGATCAACTTCTCTTGGCAAAATAAAACCAATCGGCTTTCCTTGCTCTGAGAGAGCTCAAACGGCAAATCGAAGGAACATGTCTGGAGTTCTCGATATACCGAGAAACGTTTGGAACCTCCCAACGTATCTGGAACTAACCAGAGCACCGTTCTGTGCACTTCGATGCACTCTGTTAAACAGGCTATAACGGCAATTCGAACGTGGCACATGTAAATAGATAGGTACGTATAAAGCTATATGCACGCCGTAGAAGCACAGCGAGTACGTACATATTTATTGGACCACAAAACCAACGTACTACTACGGACCGTTCGAATTCGTGGCGCTCGACGGTGCTGCCACCAACTACGAGACTAGCGGCAAAGCGTAGACGGTTGGGTCTCCTTAAATCCTATCCCGTATACGTGTCCAGAAAGCCGATTGGCTCGAGAGAGACTGTTTAACTGTTGGACGGCGGAACGTCGAATCGAACCAGAAAGAAGTGAAGTGTACTCCGCAACGTGTAACGAGAGCTCGAAAGGTATCCCCGAAGAGCGTGGAAGCGACGAGTGTTGAGTGACGTCGGGGAAGTGGATAGAAGGAGAAATAGAAATTTTTCATTGAATTCAAACTATAGCGACTGGTTAAAATCTCGGGATTTTCTCGTTGGATTAGTTTTATTAGCGTACGAGGTTCCCATTTAAATTAGACGTGATCCGTTTAACGGGTAAGGAAGGAGAAAAAAAAAGTCACCGGGACCCGCCAGACATTATTCATACGCCGTGAGCTGATTAAGGGTGAGGTATTACGGAAGAATTTAAGTAAGGGTGAAAGAGAATGGGGAGTGTTCCGGGGATGGGAAAAGGATATAAAGAGGGTTTAGTGTATATAGCTTGGTAAAAGGAAAAGGTCCTTGTTAATGGCGTTAGTGTGGGGCTGGTGACGCGGTGGTGGGGGAGTGACGGTGCTGCCGCTAACTTCCTCGGTAGACGACGGCGCTTTTACTAAGCTAGAAAAGTGCTGGAATGGCCTCCGAATGTATCTCGTGTTTTTACGTTGAACGGACGATGACAAGACGACTGGTCCCCTCTCCCTCCCTGCTTGCTTGCTTGCCTGTCGTTTTATGGGAAGCGCCGCGACGCTACGCGTCTCTGATTTATGGGACTTTCCGAGAACACTGGAAACTCTGACGTGGTCGCGGAATTGAGGCTGTGTTTTTATGTTGCTTGCTTGGAACAACCATAAAGACCCGAACGGCTGCTGGTGGGGATTATGCGTCCCCAAGGTCCTATGGGGGGGTTTGTTTTGGCTAGACCAGGTACCGAGCTCTACTTTCCGAGTCTCTTTATGGCCGAATACAATCCTATCTGTGTGACACGACCATGGTCGATTAAATTGACGTCGCCCAACGAAAGTCCAATTAACTGGCCGTCGAGTTGCTTTGTACATACCAGTGATCCATTAATTTATTCATCGGTTCATTAGGAGGGTGACCAATATTTGAATTTCATTAATAAGGAATAATTAAAAAGTGGCTTTGAAATGATGTGAAGTGAAAATTGAATCTCTAGCGTCGGATGTATCGTCAAATTAAATATATGTATACGTAGTAATTATTATACTAAATAAATATTGCCCAAGCAGTGTTTTCGATCCTTCGGATGAAACTTATATTTTATTTTTTATGTCTTCAAGCCCGTATTATCTTAGTATATCTTACGCCGTACTACAGTGGGCTCTGATTGCTATTACCTTCTGGATATTATAAGTAGTTGGATACACGAGAAACACGGCATTATTAACTGACAATTAAACCGGAGATGTGAAAAAGTGAGACGGTCGAAGGCAAGGCAAATAGACAGAAGGAGATAAAGCAATTGAAACCCAATGAATTCAAGGAAATTAAATAATACGAAGAACCGATTTCAATTAAAATCACTCACGAAAACCATGGTTCGTTGGTTTTCAAGAAAAGCGTCCTTAATGAAATTCTAGTGATATGGGAGACACAATGAATTTTCGCACGATAATGAGGGCAATGTCGAAGAAGGAAAAAATCCAAAAATACGTGAACGGAGAAACCACGGAAAGCGCTAAAAATTTATTACTTGACTCGTCAAAAGTTTAATTAATAATTATAACAACAAAACAAGACTTTTTATTTCTATTTAACATTTTTACTCTCAAACGACCTTTTTCCAAACAGAGGTACATTTTCTTCGTCCTCTTGACTCAAATTCAACAGGGGTACGCACCCTCGTCATCCCCATAGGTTACAACCTCTATTAGCCCCTAAGGTAACACGACGGAAAGCGACAAGGCTCCCGGAGATAAATGGAGATAGGAGAAAATTCCAGTTCCAACTTCTCTTTCTCCTTGGGTAAAATCGTTCGGCGTTCCGAACACTTACGGGCATAAGAAATGCCATAGTCCAAACGCTATAACTCTCGTTTTGACCAGACGACGACAGAGGCTATCCACATGACGGGGGGATGAAACCTTGAAGATACCACGGACTCTTAGATAAATCGAGACAGGAGAGGGTTCCTTCCTGAAAACGCTTGGAAGATTGCCACGTTTATTCACGTTTATTCACGAAATACTATGCTTCTCGACTCATTTTCCTGAATTCGATGCTCACGGGGTTATATATGACTACACGTGAACGATCGGCTTTCTTTCGACGTATATCGAATTCCTCTGTGTCCGATGGCGAGAGAATTTCGAGAACCGACAGTGGCGATTTGACAGTGATGTAAACGTTGTGGCCGGAAAAAAAAAATTGTTCGGTGGTAACTGTTATAATTTTTTTTTTTTAATCATAAAATTATATTTTTCTACGTGTTATCGGGATCTGTGGTATTGTTTCTCTTTTTCTTTTCTTAAGTAAACTTTTTGGATTTAAATAA